GAGAGGGAGAGTTTTCTTTCTCACTCACTTAGTAAAGAGGAAACTGTATATTTTTGTATGGTGTTATCACTACAAGGCTAATTACATTTTTTTGGGTAGTCCAATTTCAGTAAACTTGGTATCATTTTGTAGGGTTATAATAATTCCATCTTAAAATCATAATTTAAAACATCATGTAACTAATGATTTCCCTAAAGCCTGAAAAATCAAACCAATGCAAAAATATCTTAATTTGTTCGTTTGGGTAGGGGGTGTTACAAATGGGTGTTTCTCTTATAGTTTACTGATAGTTATCATTTGATGCAGGTACCACAGGACCCTGGGCTACAAAGAAATTTATGTTTGGATGGGGGAGTGAAGGAATTCCCTCCTAAACCGTTACCTATTAGACATTACACAACATTTCAGTATACTTCCTTGAAGATTTTCATGAAATGTCTCATTTTAACAATATTTATGAAATCTGGCAAATATGAGACATCCTAATTCAGGTAAGTACTGTTCTTAATTTGACAGATTAAATGCACTAAAGTTACCCAGTTGGAATGGTGTCAATTTTCATCAGGACTACACTTGACCTCATTTCTCTTTGCTGATCTGGTATAAACTTGAATGGGATGTCCTGTTGTGATTGTTATACTAACCTGACCTTACATCTTCGGATTACCACTTATTTCAGTCCCTGTATAATTTCTGAAAGGCATGAGATTATCCAACATTTGCTGCCATATAACAGATTAGATGCTACATCACAGTTCAGCACTCTTTTCTCGGGTTTTAACGACATTTTTCTATCTCTTTATACTTTTTGTAATTTCTGAAAGGAATGAGGAGATTGTCCAGCATTCACTGCTATATTAAATGAAATATTACAAAGCACTTGTTTCTTTGTTTCTCAGAAAATTTTCCAATCTCTTGATACTTTGCTTAATTTTGGAAAAGTATATTTCACTGTTCATATGCTATGTCCCTTTAGATTTCAGCTGCCATTTTCTGATTGTTAGCATCAGTTCCCCCGTAGTTCCTATTCTCCTTAAAACTTCCTCATTCAAATGTTCTGTCCCTGTTATGCTCAGCATCCTTCTTTAGAATCACATCTCTGTTACTTCAAGTCTCTTCTTCATCTGGAATGAGATTGTCTAGTATTCATGGCCGTAGAGAAAATTTAATATTACATAGCAGTTTAGCACACTCTTTGTTTCTAGAGACATTTTCCTGTATCTTAATACTCAGTTTCTGAAAAGCATCTTTCACTCACCAAACTTAAATTAATCACTATGTGCAGATAGTGAGTGACTCAAATGTATATAGGAAGAAAAAAAAAAGAAAAAGATGTTACATAATCAATTTCATGCAGTATGGTTTTAGCTTTATTGTCTGGTGCTTCAGATATATATTTAGAAATTATTGATAAAATCCAAAGCAGAATCTGCATCTCAGCTTCAGTCATTTCCCCACCACCATAATATAGCTTCCCTGTGCCTTTTCTATAAATATTTTCATGGTAATAATTCTGATGAACTTTCCTTTATGGTACCTAGACTTGATGAATTTAAGTGCAGTACTAGATTGGTAGAGAGGTCCTAATCATTTTACATTTGAAGTGGCTAGATGTAACCATATGCTCCATGCTGACAGTTTCTTCTATCACACTTCTCACTTGTGAAACTCTCTTCCAGCTTCTTTGCTTCCCAGTCAACTTTCATCTCTAAAAATTTAAATGCAATGTCAATTGTTATCTACTTCTTAATTCCTGTTCTTTTATCATTTTCTACCTTTAATAGTTTTTTTTCTATATATATATATATATATATATATATATATATATATATATATATATATATATAATCGAAAATAATAAAAAAATGGTCAGAGTTGAATTAGACCAGGAAACAGTAATATTAAAAAGTGCTCAATATGCACATATAAAAAGATAAAAATTTAACATCTAGAGCTTTTAAGTATGAAAAATTAGGAAATCGGCTGATTCCGCAACCTGGGTTTTAATCTTTTTGTATCTTCAGGTGATTTTAGTCAATTGATTTCCTAACACTTTATTTTTAAAAGTTAAAAGTAAAAAAATTTGTGAATTTACAGTAAAAAAAAATGTGTATTATTTTCGAGAAATTATGTTATATAATGAGGGAGATGACAACTCTTTTCAATTTTATCGGATCGTTTATACAATATTAGAAAAAAAATACAAGCTTCCCCCCCCAAAAAAAAAACGATATACCTATATATATACCTTAAGACTTGGGCTTAGTTGTTCACTTTGGGTATCTAATTGTTGGTTTTTGGTTGGTACACAATCATGGGTTCAGGAGGTAGATTAGTCTGTTCTTAGGAACATTCTGATACAAATCTAAGTGATAACTTTTCTTGGCGTTCTTTTGCTGAACTGTTTGGCGGTTCTACTCGGCCCAACCTGCGACCCTGTTCTTACCAAAAGCCTCAAAATGCTTGGTTTTTATAATACTTTGCCCAAAACCAGATGGGGGTGTGACATAAAAATATCAACCATTCCGTTGTCTCAACTGAATTTTCCAATTCTGGGAAATTATCCAGCTCCTTAGTGGCAGTGAGAGGGTTAACCCACCCATCCAACTCACCTTCTCTGGCATCTCTGACTTCCACTCATAGCTGCTACCTCCTCTCCTTCCTCCAACTTTCTTAGAAACAACCTGTTACTACTCTCAACCATAACTAAAAGCTAATCATCTCAACTATAAATTTTAGGTGAATTCAATTTATGGAAAAGATCAGCCCTTGAAAAAAAAAAAAAATTATCATCACCCGGTTTCTGTTGAACACCGCCAAAAGCATCAAGAAATAGCAGTCTGGATTTATTTTATGAAGGAATCAAATCTCCAGAAAAAATAAAAATATTTAATTCTCTTTTCTTTCGGGCCACATACGACACTTCCTCTAATCATTATTTTCAAGAGAAAAATTATTATCCAAATCAACATCCTGTTTTAAGCCTGAATGAAACAGATGTTTTTACTCAATCTTGACCAATGGGCTTAAGTATGTCCAGCCTGGAACACTCTAGTCAAGATTTAAATGTTATCTCAACCTGAGATAAGTACTTTCTGGGTCAATTCATCCACCTGTAGTCAATAATATCACAAGAAATCATTTGGTTTTCATTTAATATAATTTCATTGATCAAATGGAAATGAATTTTATCAAAGACATGCAAACAAGCAAAGTCAATCAAATGACATGCATCAACCAATAGTGACTATTTTAAGTGTTTTAGTAGAATTCATAAGAGGGATGCATGGGTGGTGCAATGCTTATTGGCCTGGAAAGTAGAACTGGCAAGCCTGGGTCATCCAGTCTGTTGTATTCTCTTCACACTAATGGCTTCAGACATGTAGCTCTGAGTCGATCCTTGTCAACAGCAATCAATAATGTAACCTACACCAGTGTTTGTTCTCAAGCTCCTTCAGACCACTGTGGTTACATTATAGCTGACTCCTCACTCATTACTATGTGGCTGGTTTGTCGCTAGTATCATGATGGGCATGCTTCCCCTCAACCTTTTTCTAAAATTCCATATTCTCAAAATATATTTACCTGATGAATTTTCTCAAATTTGGGGTTGTCCAGAAGTGGTCAGAAGAATAAAGCTGTCCCTTAATGCCAACTCCTTTCATGTCACATTTCGCTCCATACAGGTAGTGCTAATCTCGTCCTTCTCCCACTCCAAGGGCCAACATCCTTTTTTCTGTGACAAATCCAAACTTTCAGAATGCGTAGGTAAAAAGGGATTTTTCAATAATTAATCTTTTTTTTTTTTTCATCAGCTTGTTATGTGATTTCCCAAAGCCAGGAACTTGTTCAGAGCCCATCCAGATGGCCCTACTGCCAGCTATTCTCAAGAATTGTTATGGGTGGGAAAGAAATATATTCCCAATCTCTTTAGTGAGAAAAAAAAAAAAAAAAAAAAAAATAGTTATCTTTCCTCTATTTGTTTTTGCAGGGGGGGGGGGTGTCAACAAGTTCTCACAGCCTTTTTTTGCCCAGTCACTCCAAAATAGTAATTAATTTTTATTTGTATCCAAAGGAATCTGAATTAATGTCGGATATAAAACGTTTCTTGACGAATATCACAGAAACATCAGGCTAATCTATCTTTGTAGAGATGCTTTTCTTATGGGAGGCCAATTCAAACGAGGAGTTTTTTTTTTTTTTTTTCAGAACGATCTTTCTTATTTCAGTGACCACCCAGGTTTCCTTATTGACATGTTTTTCTATTTGACATCCTTGAGGATATATTAATGGTCTCTTTCTCATTGGCAGGAAGTGGGGAAGGATGGGTAATCTTGGTTTTGCTCAATTTTACTGAATTCCATTGAGTTAAATTTGTGTTCGATTCTCCTTGGAACTGCATGGGAGTTCACTTACTCCTTTGAAACATCATTTTTCAATGCATTTTGTTTTAATTTTCTTCTCAATTTTTCAAATCATCTTCATGCAAATTTCAATAATTATCATCCAGTTAGTAGACTTTTTCCTCTTCCTTCTTTCCTTCACCTTTTTGTTTGATCAACCCCCAGAGATCCCAGTGTCACAAAAATCCATGAATCAAATTCTTCTCCTTTTAACTATGGATTAAATAACAGGGCAGAGTGGGCTCACTAACCTTGGATAGCAGCTAGCCCTGGAGATGGTCAACTCTAAACTCAAACCATTTGTGTGTACTGTCATCAGTTGTGGAGTGGCAACCCTTCAACTATCAACTCCTTTAGCTTCTCATGTCATGTCATGTCTTCATTGTGAAATGTGCTCATAGTTCAATTTGAAGAATGTCTATGGTGGGTGCTTTTTAACAGAATTATAAAGAAAAACAAATACAAACAACAACTGAATAGCACAGGAGACATTCTCCCAAGTAAAATTTAAACAATACATTATTATTATGTTTTTTTTTTTTTTATAAGTGTTTATTTATTTGAACAAAATGGCAGTATTACAGTGTCTAAATGTTTTCAGTCTTTCTCAGCTATGGCAATAAGATGAGCTTCTATCTCGGATTCTGTTAATGTTCTGCAAATAAATAATATTTTTCTTTGATGAAAAAACAATTAACATAAGTGCATTCCATGAGCTTAAAAATAATACAATATTGAACAAGTTTCTGTGAAAAATATAAGAAATCATAGGCAAAGAGCAATGAGGACTAAAGAGATGATGACTGGGAATGATGATGATGAGGAATTTGTATAATGATATTATCAAAAAGCTGACATAATGCAACAATTGGGTTTGTCAACGATGATATACAAATGTAAGTTATGCATTTCCAATTTTAATCAATTACAATAGTTTGTATTTTGTAATTACTCTGTTGGTAAGAACTGGCAAAAAAAAGAAACAAACAACAAAAAACCTGTAGGTATCTAAGTGTAGAAAGAACTTAATGATTCAATTCAATTCAATGTAGATAAAAACTTTAGGTTAGTCTTCCTTGGCTGATTGCCCTTTAAACTCTTTAATCTCCACCTTATGAGAAGATAAGTTATTTTTTGTCTAATATAAAAAAAGAGAAAGCATGATTATTAAATACAGACTTGAATTGTTTGAATCCTAACTTTTGCAGAAATTATAATCATGCATCAAAAAAAAAAAAAAAAAAAAAAAAAAATGAATGAGTTAATTGGCTATATGTCTCCTTCATCAGAGCTGAATACATCCAGGTCTGCAATTGCAGAACATCTTATTAAAACAAAAAAACAAATGCTACATCCTTTCTCTGTTATGTGCAGATTATATTCTCTCTAACCTCTGAAAATCCTGGAAACTATTTTTATAAATCAAAACCATCTTTGTGTAAACAGAATGATTGGTTGTGTGAACTTAATGGGATATGTATGCAAAAAAATATTCTCATCTCAATATATTATTGAGATTAAGTGTATTTGCTTTCTGTCTTCATGTTCTTTTTTTAATCATTGTGTACAACAATTTTATTTACTTTGATCAAGCTCTGACAAGTGAGTTGACTCTTTTCTTTTTGTTTCTCTCGGTTTCTATTTCCATACCAATTACAGGAGTTGGGCTTTTCCTGTTCTTGGCTTTTTTTCTTTTTAATTATGTCCATTTTTACTGTGTTAATCAAATTTTGTACTGCTAATAAAATTTTCAATTATATTCATAAATTATTGGAAGCAAAAATATTAAAGCAGTCAGAGCTAAATTCATTTTTGAAGGAAGTTAGATGTTTATCACCTTTCTCTGTATCTTTTGTGTGGCACTCATAACCTATTATTGCATGTGTAGCTAAACACATGCAACAAAATTTCAAATATTTTAATACTTTGACCTCATGCTAAAAAAAAAAAAAAAAAAAGATTATCTACAATATTAACCTTTACAACAAAACAGCAAATTTATCTATTCATTTGGGGATGTACAAGTGGCACAACGGTTATCAACAGAGAATGTCCCTGGGAAAAGCATGAAGTCATTTTTCTTTTCTTTCTCTCCCCTCCTAGCTATATGTTAGACTGGAATTTCTAGTTTTCACTGGTAACTAGTCTAGAACAACAATTATGAATTCAAAATTGTGGAAAAGGCAACAAGAAACCATATCCATATTTTTTCAAGAATAATCATAGCAATGCATAGCTCATGGCTTTTAAAGAAAAAGGAAGCTCTGGGGAGCTACAATTGCCTACATGAACAGACAAAGTATAAAATAAAAATCATTTACATTCCCTTTAAATAAAAAATTTATATCCTTAAATAAATGCGGTATGAAATGAATGTCGATGCTAATGACTGATGAGATAGCAAAAATTACTACCATGCTTTATAAATAAAACTGAGTTCACACACACACACATATATATCTATCTATCTTACTTATTATAAAATGCAGATTGTGTGTGTGTGTGTGTGTGTGTGTGTGTGTGTGTCTGTACGTTTATATATTGGATCGGATTTCCTACATTTTTCAACTGATTTCAACAAAACTTCACAGGACTTGCGGTGGCCCAAAATTAGAAAAACACAATTGTTTTTGCACAAAATCAATTTGAAAACACAATTCTGTCACCAGAATGAAAGGGGGACAACTCATATCGAGTTATACTTATTATAAAACCTAGGTTGTGTGTGTGTGTGTGTGTGTGTGTGTGTGTGTTCGTTCGGTCGTTTATATATGGATCGGATTTCCTACACTTTTTAACCGATTTCAACAAAACTTCACTTTTTTTGGCAGGGAGTGTTTCTTATTGTCTTGCACACTTTTTTCTTTATTTTTACATTCAGAATACTTTAAAAATTCCATTTACAAGACAATTGTTTATAATAAAATTCTATTCAATCGATAGACTCTTAACGATTGAAAACAATGTTTTTGTTTGAGTTTGACCAATTTGTAAAAAAAAAAAAAACACTAATTAAGATATGCGTGTCCGTCAACTTTAAATAATCTTTGTCAATTTTTTTTTTCAGTCTTTATGATGGTCAATACTTGATCTATCTCTTACTGTCATTGTCCCCGGGCAATGCTGGGCTCTACTGCTAGTATATATATATATATATATATATATATATATATATATACACATATATATAGTAGCGTCCCAAAAAAACTAAGGGACAAAATTTTTAAAACCTAATATTTGTTAGAAATAACAACTGTGAAAAGCTGAAATTTTGACAACTGGTAGTTGTTATCATCCATAATAACATACTAAAATTTGAATCATTTGCAAAAGATAGAAAAAGAATTATAACAATTATTTATTTATTTTCAAATTTGGAACGTCCAAAAGTAAGGGACAAAATTGAGAAAAACAATGTAAACTGCAAAAAAAAAACAAAAAACAAAAACAAAAAAAAACAAAATACATGTACAATCAATATTTAGTAAATGAGCCCTTGCTCTCAATGACAGCTGCACATCTTTGACTACAAGAACGAATCAGTTCTTGACAATCCTCGATACTAATTTTAGACCATTCTTCTTGAAGCTTCACCCACAAATCCTCTGTGTTAGTGGGATTTCTTTCCATAACTTTCACTCCTAAGGTCTTCCAAAGATTTTCTATTGGATTTAAGTCAGGACTTTGCAGTGGCCAATCCATAATTTCCAAATCTTGCTCGCTAAGGTAATTCATTACCACCTTTGCCTTGTGACATGGGGCATTATCTTGTATAAAGGTAGTCCTATCGAAACTTGAATTCTGTATGATTGGCACAACATGATCTTGATCAATGTTTTTATAGATCTGCGCATTTACACGAGTTTGTAACCGGACAAGAGGTGTTGTACCTTGGCTAGAAAACATTCCAAATACCATGACGCTTCCGCCCCCAAACTTGACAGTTTTCTTAGTACACTTTGCAAGATTAATTTCACCAATACGGCTCTTTACATTGTTTTTTTTTCCATCATTTCCAAATAAATTAAACTTGCTTTCATCACTGAAAAATTCTTTTGCCCAATTTTCATGTGTCCAAATTACATACCTGTTTGCAAACTCTAATCTCTTCTTCTTATTCTTCGAACTAACAAATGGTTTCTTCCCTGGGGTTCGATTAAACAGCCCTATTTCTTGCAGTCATCTAGAAACAGTCTGTCTTGACACATTAACACATGAGGTACTATTCATAACCCATTTAATTTCTGTGCAAGACTTAAAACGGTCCTTTAATGACATACGCTGCATTATTCGATCTTCTCTTGCCGAAGTTTTGCAGGGTCTGCCGGTTTTAAAAGCACTATTTTGCCAGTATCATTGTAGGATTTAACAACCCTGCCTACAACACTCTTGGAACGTTTCACTTTCTCTGAAATCTCTCTAATGGCGTGCTTTTCCTTGTGTAGCTTCACAATAGCTTGTCTCACAGAGTAATCAAGTTTTTTGGCGTTTCGCCATGGTGCTGGCTGATGCAACGTTTACAAATGACTAAGTAAGACTTATTCTTTAGAGGAAATCAAAAAATTTGAATATAGCATACTGTTTACATTGTTTTTCTCAATTTTGTCCCTTACTTTTGGACGATCCTATTTTGAAAATAAATAAATTGTTATAATTCTTTTCTATCCTTTTGCAAATGATTCAAATTTTAGTATGTTATTATGGATGATAACGACTACCAGTTGTCAAAATTTCAGCTTTTCACAGTTGTTATTTCTAACAAATATTAGGTTTTAAAATTTTGTCCCTGAGTTTTGGACGCTACTGTATATATATATATATATATATATATATATTATATAGGATTAATGTGAGTAAAATTGTCACTTAGCTGATTGAGGTCACCTTCAGCATCCAGACTTTCTTAGACAGGGCTTAGGGGGGCATCAACAATTTACTGTATATTTTTTTCTTTTTATACACATTTAGCACTGGTGTAAATTTTCTTCTGTATTCTGTTCCAGGATGCTGAACATAACATCAATCAGCTAAGCAACAATTTTACTTACATTAATCCTAATAATACTCTATCTTTGAAACCAAGTACTTTATTGCAAAGACTGCTTGCCTTAAACGTCTTTTCTCTCAATACCCCATTGACTGTCAGTATTTCTGGCTTTATATTCGGTTGTCTGAAAAGTTCATGCTGATTTTTAGTTGTTTCTGTCCCAACATGTTAGAACATGTCAAATTTTGTTGACATTTCCAAATAGAACACACTTTAAACTCTCGAGAAAGAAAGTTTAAAATTACTTAATTTGTGTCAATTTTGCATCCCTATGAAAATGAAAGATTATAAGGTGCATTTTAGACACTTTATACTTTTTTTTTTTTTACTGTAAAGGCAAAAATGAAACAAAAAAGGTTATGTGATGTGTATGGTGAAGATGCTGCAGCTGACAGAACTGTACAGAAGTTTAGAGCTGATGATTGTAGCCTTATTGATGAAGAATGCTCAAGCAGACTCCCCCAACTACTAATGATGACCAGATCAAAAAATTGAGAATAACCCGTGTTACACAATGCAGTAATTGGCAGAAACACTAAGTTTATCAAAATCTACCATCCACAAGCACTTAGTGAAATTTGGGTACTCAAATTGCTTTGATGTTTGGGTACCACATGATCTGAGTGACAAGTATCTTTTGGATTGCATTTCATCTGTAATTTGCCGTATAAAAGAAATGAAGATGCACCTTTTTTGAAGCAAATTGTGATGGATGATGAGAAATGGATCATTTACAACAATGTTCAGTGAAAAAGATCCTGGGGCAAGTGACATGAGTCAACTTTAACCACCTCAAAAGCTGGTCATGCTGTGAATCTGACAGAATTAGAAAAGAATCCTGTACTATGAGCTTCTGCCAAGTAACCAGTCAATTGATTCTGAAAAGTACTGCTTGCAACTGGACCAACTACAGGCAGCAATTCAAGAAAAACATCACAAATTGGCAAACAGGAAAAGTGTTGTTTTCCATCATGATAATGCCAGACATCCTGTTTTTTTTTGGCAACCTGGCAAAAATTGTTGCAGCTTGGCTGGGGTGTGTTACCCCCACCTGCCATTGCTCCTTTGTATTTTCATTTATTTGGGTCCTTACAAAATAATCTTAATGGTAAAAATTTTAATTCTTTGGATGACAAAAAAAAAAAAAAACCCTTAATGAGTTTTTTCCAGAGCAACCACCAAAATTCTGGGAAGATGTAAACTTTAAGTTGAAGGAAAAATGAAGAAAGGTTGTGCAAGAAAATGGTTCATGTTTAGCTGAATAAATATTTAAATGGAATAATTTTGTTTTAATTTCGCTTAAAAATCAGCATGAACTTTTTGGACAAACCAATGCTATAATACTATCTTTGACATTGAGATATATATATATATATATATATATATATATATATATATATACAAGATTATAATAAAAACATGTTGAAATCATTGGTATGCACTGACTGCTTGGCTATGAAGAGCTTCACTATCAAACAATTTTGATCCATAGCTCAGTTGTCAAAGTACATTGGATCAGATGGAAGTTGCTCCTGCAAAGGGGAATGCAGGCTTGAATCCTGCTGTAGTATAAATATTTTCTTTATTTTCTTGAGCCTGTAAGATGGGAGATGAAATGCTGTTTAAAAATAAATGGATTCTCTACTCAAATAAGGGGTCTCCACTAAAACTAACATTTGAAGTAACTGACCATATCCATGTAAAAATAGATAAATTATACATAATCTCCACATTTTAGTTTGAAAGAAAAGGTAGTGAGTAGAAAATAAAACAATGCACCAAAACTTTTTCCATCAAATTAAAATCGGGTAACTATATTTTTTTCTCTTTTACAAAGGAAAAAAAAAAAAAAAATCGTCTTCAATTTTATGCAGACTATGTCTTTCGTGTTTGGAATTAATTCTTAAAAAAAAAAAAAAAAAAAAAAAAAAAAAAAAAAAAGAAGCTTTATTTCCTCACCTATATTTGGGATTGTCTTTAGTTACAAGCCCAACCTCAATTTCAGTTGGTTTGAAATCGGCAGAAAGAACTGTTGATAAACAAGAGATGGCTACCTGTAAACATAGAAAACAAGAGAAAAAGTTTTCTAAATTATTAGATTACAAATGAAACTAATTTGCAAGGAAAGTTTGGATTTATAAATATGCGGAATTAAGAAGAAAAAGAAAAAGAGAAGTCATTGTTGATATTTAAATTTATACAATCCAAATTATTTAATTGTATGCATGCCTGATTTTTAATGCTCTAGTTGAGAAGTTCTGTGCAAAGTGTTTTATTTGTCATAAAAACTCATTTGATGTTAATTTGATAAAACTTTACAAATTTTCCTTATACCATGTCAAATCTTATGCAAGTCAATGTTCCAATTATAGCAAACTGAACAGGCATAATCAGAGGATACAAAATGGAAAAAACTAGTTGTTGTTTAATGAGAGAGAGGAAAAATACAACAGATGATCTCATCAGATATTACTCAACAGAACTCAACTGGAAAAAAAAAAACTTATTTTCCTTGACTGAGTTAAGATTTGTGAGGAGGGATAGCCTCCCCGCTTTCATATTAAACCACTGTAGTTGTTTTTATGTCTGTTCTGTTTGCTATAATTAAATTTTGTACCTTTAATAAGCTCTTCAATGTTTTCACATAACGATCATAAAATAATCAAAAAAAGAAAGTGAAAACATTAGCAAGAACAAGAAAAAAAATGGCTTTAAGAATGTCACAAAAAGAATCTAAGAAAAATGAAAAGCATAATAAGTTAGAAAAGCAGATCAATTATTAAGAGAATATTTGTAGAAGCTGATTGTTGTGAATGGAAAAATAAATGGAGAGAAAAGAAGCAGAATATTAAGAATGCTGGCTGAAGACATGAAAACAACCAAACTACCACCTTTAAGTAAACAAAAAAGGAAATATTTAATTTGGGCTAACAAATATATTTCTCAGTAATAATTTTTAGTGATGAATGTAGAACTACATTGGATGAACCCAATGACTGGATTAGAAATTGGTTCCTTTGTTGGAAAAAGCCAAGCAACACAATTTAGAAGACAACTGTAAAGAGGTGGATTAATGTTTTGGGTTAGTATTTCATACAGGAAAAATTATAAGACACTTCAAAGTAGAGTTGATAATAGTGTCAAGGTAAAAGCAGAGAATTATTGTAAAAGATTTTTGAGTGCTACAGGTCACAATCAAGAAGTTTTAAGTTATAATTACACTCCTTAAAAGTCTTCAGTATTGACTATTGGCCACCTTTCTGAGAAAATAGTTTCAAAGATATTAAATTAATAAAATCATTCTTAGCCTCTCAGATATTAATCCAACAGAAAACTTGTGGTCCACCATTAAGAGATTTTGAAAATGGGAAAAAATATTCAAGATCTTTGGGAAGCAATAAAATGGCTGCAAGAAATATTGTAGTCAAGAGTAGAAAAGCTTAGAAAAATAATGAATGAAAAGCCCAAAGAAGGTTATGAAATATCAAGGGGTTCATTTTTTTTATTTATTTATTCTTGTAATTGGATAGCAGTCCACACACACACACCCACAAAAAAAAAAAAAAACAAAAAAAAAACATGCACAGCATCAAGTCAAGGAAAATAACACTTTAAAATATCTTGAAAATTGTCAGCGTGCAGCAGTGTTCATTTTATGTAGAACCCAAGGGTAAAAACTGTCCCTCATGCACTTTGTCCTAGAATTAATAGACCTAAAATGTTGTCCTGAAAGTAACAGTTCAAACAAGTGGTACTTAGGATTGTGCTGTTTTTTATTATATTTTCTGCTTTGCTGTGAAAATAAAAATTAGAAATGTCCTCTAAGGAGGGCAGCAAGCAGCCAATTATTTTCTGAGCATGAGAGTGGGTGAAAGATACAAGCTTGTTCTGACAGTTTCTTAAAAAGTCCTTAAACTAATGACAAATGGGCAAAGATAGTCCTCGTCGTGTGGGCTTTGTGACCAGTCTGCTCAGGATGGTTGTATTAAAGGCAGAGCTGAAGTCAACAAAAAGCATTGTCACATAACTCTTGCCCCCTCCCCATAGGTGAGTAAATGCAACATGGGGGCCAGTGGCAACATCATCTTCTGTTGATCTATTTGCTTTCTATGCAAATTGGTCTTCATCAAAAGTTATTAACATGTAAAATAATAATTTCTTCAGGTATATAGGATATTGAATTAATTAGAAATGTTTTTTATTGGATTTATTCATAAATAAAAATATTATGCTGTACACTGTTTGCATAATAAAATTGGACACTCACCAAACAAGTTATAATCAATATTTTTTAATAAGGATAAATATTATAAACTCGCTTGGTATGTTTATCATAAATATATACTGAACATTTTGCCAACATCAGTTTGTTAATAACAATTTTATTGTGAAAACAATGATTTGTATAATAAAATCTGGCATGATGTTGTGAACAAGGTTTTGCACATACATTTCCAAGATGAGGTATTGTAATTATTTACACTATTTATATTGTTTGGACTACTGTCCTCATCTTTGTTGCCATATTCATGACATTTCAGCCATTGTATGCTCCGGCCTTCTTCAGGTGATTGGATTTTCAAACTAAACACTATTTCATCCACTGGGGTAGATTGTTCTAGTGCCATGTCTCTTCCAGGTATCAGTTATTTCCCTTTTGTCCACTGGTCAATGTGTTCTGAAGGACACATTGTCCAGTGGATAAAAGCATTGGTTGAAGTAATCCAGTGACTTGACTAAAAGAGTTTTGAGTTCAATATCTGGGTACAGCAGAATAACTTGGAGAGTTGAGTTAAAGGGAAATAACTGATACCAAGATATCCAGAAGAGGCATGCCATGTGGAACGAGATCCTAACCTAACATAATGGACAAAATAAAGGTATTTGGTTCAAAATTCCAATAATCTGAAGAAGGCCAGAGTGTACAATGGGCAAACCATTGTGAATATGGTAACAAAGACAAGGACAACATTCTGAACAATGTAAATATGATTTTTCACATTTGTAACCGTGCATGCATATAAGAATTATTTTCTATTAGATCTAATTAGAAAATCCTAATGTATTTTTTTTTAAATTCCAGACATCTACCATTAAATGATTTATACTAATTATGATCACCAAACATTTACACAAGATAGAAAATTGGTTTTTACATTTCACCTGCAAGTAAATATGAAAAAGAAAACGTGATGAAAAATAAAAGAGCATTTAAAGCCCATATAAAAATTAAGTCAAAAATTATGATTGAATAATAATTTACCTTCAAAAATATTTGAAAATCAAACATAAAAAAATTATTCTACTACTTCTATGCACCATGTCCCTTCAGGATGTTGGCAATCATGGCTCTCCACAATTTCCTGTCCTTTGTAGCTCTTAGTAAATTTTGTCTTTTTGTTATCTCTCAAAAACCTTATTCCTTCATCCATTTACTCAAACTTTCTTGGTAGGTTATGCATTGTTTTTCTCTGTTCCTCTTTACTTCAATCTGTCCTGTGAGTGTCAAATTTTCTAAGCCTTCTTCCCTCATTATGTGCCTTAGAAATTTTAACTGTCTTTACCTGATGTTAAGTGTACTTACTGTTAAATAAAAAATGTCAATTAATATCCTTTGAAAAGTTTTTAGATTACATAAAAGCAAAAATACGAAGAATTATTTGAATATTTTTTGTCAGATTTGTAATTAACCAAATTTTACTGAAAAGAGATTTAAAAAAAAAAACACTAGCTATTGCCAGTAATCTTTACTTGATTTTTTACACTGTAAAATATCTTTAAATGTTAAAATGGACATGTAAGAAAATAAAACATCTCCCCCTATGATTCAGTCCCATTCCGAAGTGAAACAACTGTTGTTACCTCAACTGCTTCTGAACTGGTAAAATCTTGTTTCTTCTTAATTTTCTTTTCCAAGTAATTGTTTGCCTCCAGTTGTTTCACTCCAGCAGCAGTAGCTTTATAACCAGAGTAATAACCTGCTGGGTCAGTTTTGTACACTTGTGGTCCAGTTTCGTCATCATAACCAACCAAAATCATACCTGGAGAAAAAAAATTAAAAAAATGACTGTGCATATCCTGTAGTAAAAAGAAAAAGAAACAGAAAAAAAGGGGAAAGAAAGAAAAAAAGGGGGAAAAAAAAGAAGAAAAAAAGGGAAAAGAACTTCTGAATCAAAATTAAAATGAAAATATCTTCCTTCCAGTGGAATAATGCAGAATTTTTTATGAAATATTTCAATTTTTGTTCAGGTTAATTTTTTTCAATATATTTTGTTGAAACAAATCTACAATTTCATGTTGAACAATTTGAGAATTTAGAGCTTGAGTTTTCTAGGTTAAAATATTCAATGCCAATTATCATATTTCACAGCAAACACTATTTTTTTCAAAAAATAAGCCTACAAAAAGAAAAAAAAAAATTATCCTGTCTTACAGGCTAAAGCTGACTCCTTGTTTTTTTTCTCTTAAACTTTGCATATTAAAATTGGCGTGGAAGGTGTCCTCGAGGCTGGATTCTTAATAATGCTGGGAAATATAGCCTGAGGGAATGCTGGAATGTTTTCACTCAACCTGACCCACTTCCCAGAATTTTACATCATTTTTTTTGCTTTTTTTAATCTAATTTTGATCATGCAGAAAACTTTTCAGCACCTTCTTGTATATTAATGATATGATATCAAAGTTCTGTTGCTGTTTTAGAGAATCATGAAAATTGGTCTTCTTAACAACTTTTTAAACATGCCAGTAACTTCTCTGTGTCATAGCCCCAAGTTTGTTAATTCAAACAATTTCAAATCACTGAAAAAGATCTGGTGTTGTAATGTTAAAATCTATGGATTAAGAAAATTCCTCAAACAGCAAGAGAAAAGTTATTTTGAAGCAAAGGAACAGTAATAAGAAGAAAGAATAAAAGATTTTAAAGAGAAACCCAACACTTTTATACTTACAGCACCCAAGTGGTCTCATTTCAGCACTTTGTGTATAAACCTGGGAAATGTCAGCTAAGCGCTTGCATAACATATCAACTGGAATTTCATACCCGTAAGTGTGCATCCATTTTGCAGCTTCATAACGAGCTCGTTGCATTTGGGAACGACTGTCGGCTAAAAGATAAAACAGGTTTAATCAGAGATGTTAGAAAATATCTCAAAGTATCCATTAATTTAGATTTTAAATAGACATTTTAATAATATATTTGTTTTACCAATTCATACTATGAAAATTAAATAATTAAACCTAATGGAGCAGTAAAATGAACATGAAACTTCAAGTAAAATTTGCATCAACCTAATAAATCATACTGAGAGATTAAAAATTTATTGAAAGAAAACTGTTAACAGTTGAGAACTGTGGATCTCTTTAACTACTTTGGATTAAGCAGTAATTTAGTAATACTCACAAGAATTATCACTATCAAAGTTTCAATACCAAAGAAATTATCAAAAACTCTTGGGAAATGGGAATATCGTAAGCAGTTCAGTAGAAAAGCACAATGATATGCAAACTGAATTGTGAAATTGTAGGAAAATTCATTAAAAAATTAATTTGCTGTAGCATTAATCTGGTTTTATGTAGATATACATTTCAACAAAAACAATTTTCGTTTAACACATTTATTAATTTTGAAGATGAATAAAAAAAATACAGGGCAGGAAATAAGTAATTTTATAACATTCATAATTTTTATGTTAAATAACATCAAATGAATTTCTAAAACACTATGATAGAAAAAGAAAAAAAAAAGTCCTTGTAAGTACCTGTCATACCAGTCATGACACATCCTATATGGTCAGTAATCTGATAAAGGTGTGTCACAGTATCAGGGTCCAAAAGCTTGTCCTATAAGAAGCAAAACAATTACATGCATCAAAAACTTTTAAATCATTGTTAAAGTGACATATTCCAAGTAGCAATAATTGTGTGCGTATCTACAGGGTAATTGAAAAATAACTCCTTATTTTATATATGATGGACTCTCCTGTCTGGTAAAAATTATGGTTAGATGGGGGAGTCCATCATGCATAAAATAGGGGGGGTACTTTTCAATCATTCTGTATATGTGAGGGGGTGATGGAAAGTAATTGGACTGACCAAGACAGGTCACTTTGAGAAGAAAAAAAAAAAGTAAATAAAGGAAATTATTTGACCATTTGGCTGTATGTATAATTGAAAAGAGTTTGTTCATTTTTAGGTGCAGACAAACCTTTTCCTATAGAACTCATATTTTTACAAAAAAGTTTTGGTGGTGCAGGGAGGTCGGTTTGTTATATGGATTTATCTTCAACAGTAACAATTACCATTTGTAACTGTGTGTAAAATCCATTTTCTCCTATATTATTAACATCTGAACAAAAAAATATTTGCATAAAAGATAACTCTTCATGGAACCATTTTCCTCCAAAAGTATATTTTCTACTGTTCATATTATTTCTTCATTGGAAACCTACCAACAAAAAATGGAATCTACTTTTCTTCCCTTTTAGGCTACCATTATATTTTTTTCCAAACACTGCCCATTCACATGACTGGTGTCCATAAAAACAAACCTTGACAATAACTGACAACAAACATTGTAAAATAGACATTTCTTGGTGATATATAACATTTGTTTCACTTTGGTATAAAAAGCTTATCAGCAATGACTTTCCAGGTTTGAGGAATATAATCAGCTTCGATGAAAGCCTTCACACCTCACTCGATGTAGACAGGCACTTTAGCTAGTCATGATACAATTAGTTGCTTTTTTTACTAGATTAAACATTCTAAAGGATTTGAAAAGAAGACAAAAAATTTTTTTTAAATATTGGTATTACAGGTCTGCTTGAAATTAAATGGGTGTAGTGGGGTAATAGTTCATTAATTGTCACTTGTCAAATATTTAAAAAAAAAAAAAAAAAAAAAAAAAAAAAAAAAAAAAAAAAGAAAAAAAAAATGAAATAAAATCAGAGGGCCCCATTCATAAATACATTGAGAAAATAATTTTCCAAAACTTTCCAACTTTTAAATTTTACTATTTCTGGTTGATATATTTATAATTTTCAATATTTATGAAAAATGCATACATACAATGTAACACAATTAGTAGTCTTAATATATAAAGCCAAAGAAGATCACAATATTTACCACTTTGTGGCAACACATTATGTAATACTGAGTGCAGTCACAAGAATCTTTTGATTAAAACAATGATCAGAGAAAATTGTCATGGTTTTTATTTTGACCGTATTAAGTGGATGACAGTGAATAGTGTCTGAATAGAGTAGGGGATCAAAACAGATGATGTTGTACACTTCTGGCTTGCCAAGGGCAGTGGATTCATCATTTGTAAACTGATAACATTGAAGTGATGATATATATAATCATTTACTTACAGGTACTTTTTTCTGGGTGACAATAACAGCAGAATCCTTCCCTTTAATAGCAATGGACGTCAATCCTCCTTGATTTATGGCTTTGAAAGCGTATTCTAAGTTGGAAAATAAACAAAAAATTATTGGTCAAAAAGAGTGGTGGAAATAAATACATTAATGATACATAGTTTAAAAAAGATAAATTTACAAAAACTGATTTTCTTTTTTAAGCCTTATAATGCAATGAAGTGAATATTTTGTTTTACACATTTATACAAAGGAAATTCGATGTAGAAAGACAACAGTTTTAAGAACTTGATTAAAAACAAATCAGAGAGAGAAAAATGGTCTAAAAAAATCTGCTACATTAACTTAAAAAAAAATCCAAGATAGATAACTCACTTTAAAATTACCTCCCCTAGATCATCAACATCAAGTTTATCTCACCATAAAACCTGAGATCAACTGACAGTAAGTTACAACATTAAGTGGTCATCTGTAGCTAAGGATAGTCTTCGTTACATTCACTTATGTGCAAATATCCTTGGCAAAAGTGTGACTCCATATCTCTCTCCCCAGCTATGGGTTGAATAACAGGACAGACTGGATCCTATAGTTTTGATTAGTAACCAATCTTCTGCAGAAACGTGGGAAATCTGCCAAGTCAGTCATGAATTGAAAGAGACTTTTGGCTAGATGTATATCTTGTATGGCACTTTACTTTTTAGACTTATATTCTGAGTTTAAGAAATTTTACAGCCTAATAGCATAATATGGTTTTCGTTTTCATAAACAGCTCAGGACACATGTAATATTCCTATTCAATCAGTAGTAACACTTCAATTTCCTAATCTTTGAAAATACACTAAATTTTCAAAGCACAGCACACAGAAGGAGTGTTTAAACTTACTAAAACACACAAAGAAAATAATATTTACTGATATACACACAAAAAAAATTGCTAGCAATAACAGTAGTTTTGTTTTCCCATGCTTTTACTTTTTTTTTTTTTTTTTTAAAGGAGACAATACAACTTAAACTATATTAAAACTTAACTAAGTAGTTAAAATTAATTAGGGAATGGTGGTTACATAATTAACTGTTCCTATCTGAATACATGAACTTCAATTGCATGTGCTCTTATTTTAACTCTACATTTCTAACGTCTCCACCTACATTTGGAATTTTATTTAATTTTTTTTTCTCCCTCCAATAGGAGTAGATTAATTTATTGTCTGGTTTCCAAGTGTTCCATGTCTTTTGAACAGGAATAGCGGTTTATCCCTCGTTTTAAAATAGGATTTCCAGTTCCCTCTCTTGAGTGGGTGTCATGAGTTTTTAAGGATATGACTCTTTATTTTAAGGTTACTGAGTTGGCAATTTTCTGGTTGCTGGACCCTGATTGGTAGCAAGGAACCAGAATTCTTTGGCAGCACTTAGAGAAGTTGCTAATAACCAACTTCAATATAATCACCAATGTAATAACCAACTTCAATATAATCACCAATGTAATAACCAACTTCAATATAATCACCAATGTAATGACCAATATAATAGAATCTGGCACCTATCAAATTTGGAATCTGAACTTAATGAAGTAAAGAAAAAATAAGAGGCTCACCCCCTTGGCAACCCGACTATAAACAGTATCTGGCAGGAAGCAGTGCTGCCTATTTTTAGCTATTAATTTGAATGCTCTCCATATCTTCTTATTACTGTTACACTGGCTAATTTTACAAGAGTTGTTTTCTCTTCTGCTACTGTTAAAATGGTTAAAGGTATCAGCAAAAATAATAAACAAATAAATTTGAATGTTTAACTGTTTAAACATTTAAATTTACTTATTATTTTTGCTAAATTGCCAAATCCAAGGTTTTGCACTCCCAGTTAGGAACCACTGCTTTAGAGGACCAGTACTGGCCATTATTTTTGGCCTCTTCCAGCTTAAAAGCTTATCTTATGACTATAACATACAACAAAAAAATAAAGTTAAACCAGTTTAGGAAAAAAAACAAAAACAAAAACACCACCACCTAAGCCCCACAATCTTTCTTTCTGCCATATTCATAGTATCTGTACCAATTTCTACAGTGGAGAATTTTCTCTTGGAATGTTCTCCCGACTTATTCACTCTGTGAAACACTTCAATCTCTACCACTGAATTCTATGTTTCTGGCTATCTTTTTCTCTATCGAAAGGACTTTAGTGTCCACATGTATGACCTTGGTGTTCATGAAAATCTTCCAGTGGCAAGGGAATTGTCTCTAGAGTCTACAGATTGTTCTTATATGTACTTCCAACTGTCACTATTAAACTTGGTTATCTCTTCTTCCTTTATCATTCCCCATTTCTTAGGACTATTGCTTGCTATATAGAATATCTAACAGTATAGATAAGGCGCTCTCTCTACATTCATCTGCAAATATATTTGTGTTTGGCAATATCAATGCTCATCATGTCAAGTGGCTTTATCATTCTAATACCACTGATCTTGCCAGTATCTAGACTTTGAATTTCTCAATCTCTCAATGAAATAGATTTCCTGAGTAATTCTGACAGACATACTTCTTTACTTGATCTGTTCCTCATTTCTTTTCTGGACTTTATAACTCTGACCACATGGTAGTGTTCATAGATATTTTTCGTTCATCTATTAACAAATATTTGTTTTGTTACCAATGCACCGATTGTGACTCATTTCATGATTTTCTTTGCAATGATCCCTAGAATTAAATTTTCAATCTTCTCACTAAAAATTCTACCACTGAGGCTACTTCCTAGTTGATAGTTGACATCAAAGCTTTTGTGCCAGCACAGAAATGTCAAGTAAAATTGCAATCTTTTCCTTGTTTCACTCCTGCCTGTTCGGCTGCTGTTCCAGCTACACCAATGTGATAGTTCCGATCATAACAGACACATCTTTGTGTCTGCTTGTAATGAGTGTAAGAGTGTTCTCAACAAGGCAAAGTTACTACCTGTTGATAGAATATGATACTGTACAACATCTTGCAATTTTAGTTCCAGAGATTACTGGCAGTTCTGTAAGAGTGTATTGAACAAGAGTAAATCCTTAATCACTCTTCTCTTCAATCAGTTTGAATTATTCTCATCTGTGGCTGATAAAGTAGAATGCTTTGCTTGGAAATTCTCTTCCAACACTTCAGGAGTATCTTTGCTTGATTTTCCCCTTGAATGGAATCTCTAAGTGACATGCACATAACTTTGTCCATGGTTGCTGCTATAATCTCCAAACTAGATCCCCAAATAGTTTGTGTATTTAATGGTATTCATGCAATTGTCCTAAGGAAATTTGTTCATTAACTGACTCATATACTCTCCAAACTCTACAACAAATGCCTTGCTGCTTCTTACTTTCCAGCCTGTCAGAAATTTTCTGTAGTTCTGTTCTTGAAGAACTCTGGTGAACCTTCTGATCCCTCAAATGATCATCCTATTAATAATTTTACCCATTTTTGGCAAAGTACTAGATGTTCCAATCAACTCTGAATTGGCTAAGCATCTCAGTTCACACAACCTTCTTTCACATAAACAAGATGGCTTTTGTTTCTCTAGGTCAACTGCTGATGTGTTAACAGTTATTACTGAATTTGACTATCAGGCGTTATATAAGAATGGTGAGGCTCAGGCTGTGGCTTTAGATATCTCAAAGGCATTTCACAGAGTTTGGCATACTAGCCTTCTCCACAAGCTTAAGAGAAATGGTGTCTCTGGTCAAATATTTGACTTAATCATTCTTAACAAATTATGTGATGAAAGTTGTGTTGACTGGCTGTGCTTCTAGATAATTTTGTATTAATGCAGGGTCCCCAAGGGCTATCCTTGGATCTACATTTTTTATTTTCAATAACTTCCTGATGTTATCAGTTTTCAACTAGATATTTATGCTGACAACTATTTACTCTTGTCTTAATAGTAAGTCTGATAGGTCTGACAAAGTAAAACTGGCAACTGTTCACAAAATGACCTCCACTCAGTTAACTGGGGCAAGAAATGGCTTGTAAATTTGAACGTTTCCAAAATGAAGCCACCATCCTTTAATAATTGTAGAGAACCATTTTTGTCATCCATCAGAATGGCTGATGCCAACTTCCAGTAGAGAAACTCAATACACATTCTTGGCCTCTTTAGTACTAGTAACTACTATTTTTAACCCATATCTTTCCCGAGAGCATGAGTACAAATTGAACCCAGCTGACGTGTTCAGATTTTGAACTCAGTTTGATGATTCCACTTTCTGCACAAGTAACCATTACAATTTACATAAACTTTTACGAAACAAACCAAAATCGATATGCTCATCACTATTTGTGAAGAGAGACAAACATTAAAAATGTGTTAAAAGTAAACCACAAAAATACTTATTTAAATTGTTTTTTTTATTATTTTTATAGACGAAATCTAAAACAAATATTGTTTGAGAGGGCTGTAATTCTTAAATGTGAGGTATTTGGCTCCTAAAAGAGGAATTAGGAAAGTCTCAAGTATAATGGTGAATATATTAAGTACTCGATGACAAATCAAAAGTTGGTAAGGAGTTGAAATCCGAGATTCTAAGGGCAGAATAATGATCCTGGACTCTGAGAATCAGTTTACAAATGACAAGTGCCATCATGTGAATTCTCATATTTAAAAAGGTGCTTTTATTTAAAACTTTTTATGAAATAATTCTGTGAATATGGAATGAAAAAAAGGTCGTGCTACAATACAAAAAGTTTGAATTTCATAAAATCAAATCATTTTGGGAAGTAAACATTGTTCCCTTGCTTGCTATATCAAAACAAACCTAAAGTGAAAATAAACGAAAAATCGTATATAGACCATACAAACCAGCTGCTACGATTCTAACAGATAGATAAAGTCTCGTTGAGCTAAAAAAGATGAGACATATAAATCCAAGTGTTCAAATATAAATTAAAAACCATTAACAGTGACAAAAAATTAAGTTGCGCCATAAACACCTTTGTTCAGTTTTGAACAAAAAACATTGATGAATTGAAAAGGGAGATATTTGGATTATAAAAACGAAAAAAGATAATTACATTTTTTTGTGGGAATAGTCTTTTCGACAAATACTTTAAATCGTTTTAACTGAGATTTTCTTGTATAATTTCTGACCAATCCAAAGTCCTTAAAAATTCTGGAAAAAAAAGACCCCGACAATATGACCAGACCATTTTTAGCACAAGATGCACATATTCATAATCCACATTATATTTCTTTTTTTTATGTTAACAAAACTTACCGACTTGATAAAGTCGACCTTCAGGAGAAAAGATAGTGATATGCCGATCAAAGCCAGCACTGCTTCCCCGGGACATTTTTTTCTTTTAAATTTTAGGTGCCTAAATTAAGAAAAGAAAATCGTGTAAATCGGTACATGAGACGGCAACTTTGTCAACTTCCGCTTACCAGCAATGGCCGACCACAGTGCATGCCGGGTAGAACTCTCCGGTAAGAAAAAAAAAAAATGTCTTCAGCTCTTTCGATCATACAAGCGCAACATTGTTTATTAAAATATTTTAAAATTAAATAAAAGAAAAAACTTGGAATAACACAATGATTTTTCAATGAATAGACGATCAATTAATTTTTTTTATTATTATTTTGCAAAGTCATCAAAAAAGAAGGAAAGATAACTCTAAAAAGAAAAATGGTTTTTCAAAAAAAAAAAAAAAAAGTTAACATAGGAAAACCGGGCATGTGCTATTAATTTTGTGCGTGTTTTTTTTTTTTTTAAAGAAAAAAAAAAGGCCTAATCACACGAGGAGTGAAGTAAGTTACTTCTCTCCTACCTTTCCTCTAAATATCTATCATTTATTTATTTTGGGGTTTAACTTTCTTTTGAATGGTGGGGGGTATCATAAAGAAGGCTTTCTATTCCTTTCTTCCTCTATGTTCTACTTTCTTATTTCAATATAATTCCTCCCCGTCTTTAACACGAGCAGGTGAGTTTATTATCGTTTTTGTTGTTGTTAGAAACAACGGGGAAAGCGGAAGCCATGCAGAATAACATGTTATTTCCTCTTATAAATTTGAAACATTTCTACTGAAAGAAGAAAAGTGAAAATTCAGGTTATGGATTAAATTTAAATACTTCCCAAACAAACAAATTTAAAATGGATCTCTTTACTTTCTTACAAGGGAGTTAGTGATTGTAATCAAACTGATTAATAAGAAAGAAAGTATGTTACTATTTTATTTTACGTTTAATTTAATTTAAGTAAAGATAAACAATATTTTGATAAAAGTAGCACCTTACAATTTTATAAAATGAAACTGTTAGTTAGCAACTGGAAACTTTATGTGAGTTAAAAAAAAAAGTAACCTTAATTTAAAAAGTTTTCAAAGAAAATATTACTTAATAATTAATTACTTAGATTATTACTGGTTATTTATTTATTATTTTTTAAACTTAAACTAAACGCTTTTTAAATTCTTTATTTTTCTCATGATGAACAACTTTAAAAAATTGATCTATCAATTTAAAGCAGAATATTTTTAAAAGAATGCATTAATTTTCACAAAACGTCTTTTTATTAAAAAGTTATTTTCTTAATGATTTTATCTTTCAAATTCCAAGCATAAAAATCCCTTCTTAGAAAAAAAAAAAATACAGAATAATTATTATTAATTCTGAATTCATTACAAAATTATTAATAATTAATTATTGCTATGAACTTAAATTTCTAAAACCATAAACGATGTTTGATGATTTAAGAAAAAAAATTATTACTTTTTTATAAGAATCATATTTGGCAAATGTTTTTACTTTATTTCTCTTTAAGAACTGAAAACATAAATTAAAAGAAAAAAAAGACAATGTGAAGTATTTTTAAACGTAAAACTTTTCATTTGATCCCAATCTTTTAATTTATTAACATTGATATTAAAATTTAAGAGAATTATTTTATTCATGACAATTCCTTGCTTAGAATGCTGATTATTGAGTCATAAAATTTAAAAATAAGCATTTTGATCCACATTTGTTTTGAAAAAAGTAATCTGTAGTATTGATGTTTTTTTTACTAAAACCTTGCAAAATAAAATAATCTCTATTTTAAAAGTCTACTCTGAAAAACGTTTCTGTAATAATTATACAAAGAAAAATGCATCATCCAATTTATCAATTTTAATTATTCACACACAAAACAAAAAAAAAACGTAGATAGCATTTAAAAAATTTAAATCAGGGACTGAATGAAACAGCAAGATTTAAAAAAAAAATCTAAATCACTTTGTAATCCTTCAAAGGTCGGGTTATCCAAATTTCTGGGAAAAGTTCTTACACGCCTTCTTTTTTTTTTTAGTTTTATTTATTTTATTCAACACAAGTCCTTTTTATTTTCGTTCATCCAAAAAGACATGCTTCAGCCATAAGCACTTTTCATGTAATCTAAAAAAAATTAAAAATAAAGGTTATCTGATTATGTACAAATATTGTGAACTTGATGGAACATGATCATAAAAAGATAACATTATTGCATGCTTTGTCATTCTAGCTTTTTTTTGTCTTAAGTAGAAAAGAATCCTTTTTTTTTGTTTATGTCATTTGTCGGGTCAAGATGAACATGAAATTTCGCAAAAAGAGGTACGTATTATTAATTATTATTTATTCATCTTTCTTTTTAAAATAGATATTATTGTGATGATCGCATTGTCTTAAGTTGCTTAAAGTTATTTTTTTATTTGTTTCTGAATAATTAGTTTCTTAAAACAACTGTTTCTTGAACTTGTTAATCCTATTTGGCTGTTTTGTCTTTTTACATCTGTTAAATGACGAAAATCAATATGAATAGTCAATAGAAAATATAAATTTGATTTCTTGTTTTTATTTAAATGAAATGTTAGTAAAAATTAATAAAACTAAAGCAAAAGGTGTAAAAATAACATACACTATGAAACTTTCAAAAATTGAATGTTTTAATTTTTTTAAATCTTTCAATATTTTGAAGTTGTGAATACTAAAAACAAACAATAAGAAAAAAAAAAACCAAAGGTATTTTGTTTTTTTAAATAACCCCCAACTACTTAAAAATGTAACTTGATTCATTCATCAGGACGATTTACGAGAAAACGAATCAATTGATTTGAAAATAAATAAACATACCCTTCTTTTCTCTCTAGGGTCGTTTCCCCACTTTTACTTCCTTTATAAAAGTTTTTCTTTTTTTTAACTTCATTTTTGTTTCGTTTTAAACCCAACTTTAACTTCCTTACGAAAAAAAACGTTTTTACTAGTTTTAACTAGAATGATCGTTATGAAAAAATCTTGAATAATTTATCAAGTTGAAATTAATTATTCAAGTCTCCAATTTAAATCACTTTAATTAAATTGATTAATAATTAATTATGTGATTACTAATTTACTACTGACACTATCAAATTGTCAATCAATGAATATATCGATGTTTTGTTTGACTTTAAAAATGGTAAGCCAAAAAACAACAAAAAAGTTATTGCAAAGTCATATTTAATTTGCTATTTTTTCACTTACTAAATTTTTAGCTTTCAGTATTTAAACAAAATTTTAAAAGTAATAAAAGTTCGGTAAAAAAAAAAATGTAAAATATTGTTTAAACAAAAACATTGACAATCTTTCTTTGGTTTATTTAGTTTCACATGGTAGTAGGATTTTTTAGAGCGTAATTATTATTCGCAGTACAAATTAAGCATTTATCAATTCCAACCAAAATCTCTTCTTTAGGTCTTTGACATCCTTATCGTTTATGCACTCTAACGTCGTTATCGTACGTAGACTATTCTTTGACTCTAGTCTACGATAACAACCATATGTTTTAAATTTTGTTTTTTAAATAATTTTAAAATTTAAAAACTGAATTTTTTTTTCCAGTTTTCTTGGTAAACCAAACTTAAAAAAAAACATTTTTTTTCTTTTTGGATTTACTTTTCTTTTTAGTTTTTGCTTTTTACTTTACCATTTTATTTGACGATGGCACTACTAATATCATTTTTTTTTGTCTCTGAGAAACAAAATTAAAAAAAACCCAAAAAACTTGATCTTTTCGTTTGTTTGTTTGTTTTATTAGTTTTTTTTTTTAGTTTTTTTTTTTAATTAAACCAAATTTGAGTGCATCATATGTTTAGTTTTAACTTTTAACCCTAAAAAATCTTGATCTTTGACAAGTTCTCGACAAACACTTCTCTAAGTTTTTTTTTTTTTTTTTTATTTCTCTCCTTTTAGAAAGAGTGAAGTTTTACTTTTATGTCGGTGTAAATTTTACATTGTAAAAAGTAAGTCTTGAAGAGTTTAAGACACAGTTCTCAAAAAAAAAAAAAAAAAAAAAAAATCCCGAACTAGATAAACTTAGGCCCGCCTGGGGGCAATTGTTGCAATATTTATTATTAATTACTATTTACTAGTGTGTATTTTCAAATTAAGGAAGGAAAAACTAAATTCCGGGCACGGAGAGAAACACACAAAAAATGTGTGGATATTTTTTCTTCTAACTTTAAACAGCCGGTTATAAAACACTAAAGAAGCGAAGCGTTTGAAATCCACCGGCAATTGAGGATAGTGATAAAAATCGCAAGCATGAATTTCATTTCCTGCAACGGCTTCATTTTATTTTTTTTTTTTTTTTACCACTACTCATATTTTACCCCGACCATTCTCCTTTTTTCTCTCTTTCTAATATTTTAAAAAGCATAAAACAAATCTGGAATAAAAAAAAAAAAAATGCCTAATACGACAAATTTAAAAACGCAAGAAGGAAGCGATCTCATACTTGTCTACAGTAATTTTTGCGGTTAGGTAATCACGTGACCCAGCAAACGTCATGATACTGTTTAGCTTTAGCTACTTACAGAGTTTTTCAAGCGCGGGTTCTTGCTTCTTTTTTTTTTTTTCTTTCTGTTCTCATTAAAAAAAGATAATATATTCGTACGTATTTTTTTTTTTTAATCCTCCAAGTTTTACAATATTAGACGACAGTAAATGTCGCCACTAAAAGGCGCATGTGTTTTGCATCGTGTATTTTTATTGAGCAAGTAGTGGTCGCCTGTGAGGGTAGAGTGGTGGCGGTAGAGTCTTTCTGATAGTACTTGACCAGGCAGCAAATCTCTGGTAATTCAGCCCCTCCTCACTCGAGACTCCTATCTTTTTTTTTAATTTTTTTAATATACATACACTTTCTTCATTATTTGCCGATATTCTTCATATTCGTACTTGGAAGACTGGTTTTGAAAGTAAGTAAACTAACATTTAACAACTCCATCGTCACAACAAAAAGAAAGAAAAAACTAGATAGACAGGTACTTGTTATTTTTTTTTTTTGTTTTTTTACCATTTTCTTTGAAT